GTTAATATTTGAAAAAGTTATGGCAGTTTTAAGTACAAAAAACATCCTTATAGAAGGTGATTTTTATCGCAAGTATTACATTTTTTTTTAAATTTTGACAGCAATTTGCACATATTAGATAGGTCGTCAAGACAATTTTTTTTTTCATTTTATAGTACATAAAATAAGCTTTAATTTTATATATGATTAAAGGACGCAATATTTCCGAAACACTTTCAAAAGTTAAGTTGAAAAAGTTCTATTTTTTATACAATATTTCAAGTTTTGAACGCCCCCTTTATATGGGGAAATTGTCCAATTTTAATAATAAGTATGTCAAATGAAAGATCTACTTATAATGTATTTAGAAAAAAAAAATTGTACTGATAATTACATTTTTCGAAAAGTTATAGCATTTTTAAGTTGAATATTTAAAATTGAAAATTTTAACACAAAATTAGCGTTTTTTTAACTAGAACTAGAAGATAAATTGTCGGGACAAATTTTTTTTTTTCATTTTATAGTACATAAAATAAGCTTTAATTTGATATATGTTTGAAGGACGCAGTATTTCCGGAACATTTTCAAAAATTAAGTTGAAAAAGTTAGTTTTTGTAAAAAAGTTGCTATTTTAAATCCCCCCTGTGAGCAGAATAAGTGTTAGATTTTCAAAAAAAAATGATATCAAATGAAAGAAAATTACCTAAGGTTTCAATATAAAGAAATATTATTTTGATTAGTTAATATTTGAAAAAGTTATGGCAGTTTTAAGTACAAAAAACATCGTTATAAAAGGTGATTTTTATCGCAAATATTACATTTTTTTTATAATTTCGACTGCCATTTGCACATAGAAGATAAGGTGTCGGGACAAATTTTTTTTTTTCATTTTATAGTACATAAAAAAAGCTTTAATTTGATATATGTTTAAAGGACGCAGTATTTCCGGAACATTTTCAAAAATTAAGTTGAAAAAGTTAGTTTTTGTAAAAAAGTTGCTATTTTAAATCCCCCCCGTGAGCAGAATAAGTGTTAGATTTTCAAAAAAAAATGATATCAAATGAAAGAAAATTACCTAAGGTTTCAATATAAAGAAATATTATTTTGATTAGTTAATATTTGAAAAAGTTATGGCAGTTTTAAGTACAAAAAACATCGTTATAAAAGGTGATTTTTATCGCAAATATTACATTTTTTTTATAATTTCGACAGCCATTTGCACATAGAAGATAAGGTGTCGGGACAAATTTTTTTTTTTCATTTTATAGTACATAAAATAAGCTTTAATTTGATATATGTTTAAAGGACGCAGTATTTCCGAAACATTTTCAAAAATTAAGTTGAAAAAGTTAGTTTTTGTAAAAAAGTTGCTATTTTAAATCCCCCCCCAAAGAGCAGGTTAAGTGTTAGATTTTCAAAAAAATGATATCAAATAAAAGGAAAATATCTAAGGTTTTAGTATAAAAAAAATGTTTGTTGATTTGTTTATTTTTGAAATAGTTATGGAAGTTTTAAGAAAAAAAGTGAGAAAAATGACAAAATTTACCGATTTTTAAATTTGTAATTTTTTTGGATATTTCCCCCATTTGCGGGGAACAAGGGAAAATTTTTCAATTTTTAAGGGTAATGTCTTCAACTAGATATGATTTGTGATCTATTGACGTATTGTTGAAAGAAATCGGTTCAGTGAGAGCTGAGAAAAAGGGGCAACAGACAAAAAAAAAAAAAAAAAAAACACATCATAGTAAAACCAATACCTTCTCAGCTTCGCATCGAAGCTAACATATTTTCAATATAGTTCTATATTGAAAAAATTGATTAAAAAAGAATTTATATATAAAATGTTATGTGGATCATAATTTATATGATTTGTCAGTTAGATCCGTTCCACCTGTATTTGACAAGTTATGTACTTATTCGTTTTTTACCTTAAATTTCTTAATTTTCCAAGGAATTTTTTTTCAAATTTTAAGTATAGTGTCTTTAACTAGATACAACTTAATGACTTCACTTTTTATTAAGTTGAAAAAAAATGTATTCTTGTAATTTTTCTCATTCCAGCTTCTTAAGATTTTCATTCCAAGGTATTTCTTACAAATATTATTAAGTTTATAAGTAAATTAATGAGTATGAATTATACTCCAAGCAAACAGTTGAAATTATTTTACGCACGAATTCATCTATACATATCGAAACGAAAATGTTTACATCACAAATTTGCATTCTTAATATGATGGCTTAATAAAACCAAAATTATTATTTTGATATAATCGATTGATTCAGAGATTGAATAAACAAAAAATGTTTATCAGCAAAAATACTATAATATAATACGAAAGGTGTACTATAATCATTAATGACATAATCATTTGATGATCTGGTTAATTCTATTATTATAATTTTGAAAATTAAAAAAATTTGGTTTTACAATGTAACAATATCTTTTTGCTTTATGTTATTGCGGAACTGGTGATATTGTTTAGCGATACTTTAAATTATCACAAATTTTATGTAATTAAGGAAATTACCCTGAAAACTAGACAAAATTTCCTTAATTCCCTTAAAAGGTAAAAACCACCAAACAATATAATTATGAAATAAGCTAATTTAGATAGTTTTTTTTAAACATTTTGGAAAATATATGAATCGGAACGTCATTATTTTTGATATAAAATTTTTTTAATTAAACATTTTTCTTGCTAATGCAATAAAGGTCAAAATAGCGATATTTTCATGAATTATTAACTTTAAAAACCCAGCACAGTAGGGTCGCAGCACAATGGGAACGAGGCGTAATTATGATATGGATGATAACTGACAGTGATTAAAATCACAATCATAAAAAACGCTTCGATGCAAATCTGTAAATAATGTTTAATTTAAAAAAATTAATGGATTATTCCAAAAGCGACATGATTTCCTATTTCTTTATTTATATCCTAATTACAAGTTTTCTAATTTATAAGTATAATAAATGAATAAATAAATAAGTATTTTTATATATTAATAATATATAAATATAAATAAAACTTATCTTAAAAAAAATATAAGGATCCATATATTTTACAAAAAATTATAGCTTTACAAAGTAAAAATATAAAAAAAGAATTTTTTTACAAATATCATATTTTTTATTAACTTTGATGTCCGTTTTCACAATGAAAACAAAATAAAGTCCGAAATCCTTTTTGTCATATTAAAATAAAAAAACCAGCACAGGGGGGTCGCGGCATAGTGGTGACGTGGCATAGTTGGATCAAGTATAATGATATCTGACAGTGATTAAAATCAGTATCAAAAATAAACGCTTCGATGCAAATCTTTAGATAGTGTTTAATTTTAAAAAAATTGGTGTTTTATTCCAAAAGCTACTTGATCTGCTGGTTCCTTATTAATATCTCGATTAAGATAAAATATGTCGAATGAAAAAGGGTTTATTAAAAAATATTATTTCTCAGAAAAAAATAATGTTGATCCATACATTTTTCAAAAAGTTATAGCATTATAAAGTTAAATATAATATAAATAATAAAATCGAGAATTTTCACACGAAAATAGCATTCGGTAGCCATTTTCGCCGTGAAGACAAGTCCAGAGGTCAAATTTTTTTTTTTCAAATTAAAGTATATTACATTAGCTTTAATTTAAGATATATATAAAAGTGTCAGACCTTCCGGAACATTTTCAAAAGTTAAGTTGAAAAAGTTAATTTTTTGTGAAAAAGTTGTCATTTTAAATCCCCCCCTGTGGGCAGATAAAGTGTCAGATTTACAAAAAAAATATACCAAATGATAAGTAAAGACATCAAGCATCTATATAAAAAAAAATTATATTGATATGTTCATTTTTGAAAAAGTTACGGCAGTTTTTAGTAAAAAAAATTGAAAAAATTTCGAAAATTAGCGATTTTTAAATTTGTAATTTTTTTGGAGGTTTCCTCCATTTACGGGGAACGAGGGAAATTTTTTCAATTTTGAAGGGTAATCTCTTCGACTAGATACGATTTGTGATCTTTTGACGTTGAAAGAAATCCGTTCGGTGAGAGCTGAGAAAAAGTGGTAACAGACAAAAAAAAAAAAAAAAAACACATCATAGTAAAACTAATACCTTCTCAGCTTCGCATCGAAGCTAAAATAAAATAAAATACAAAAACTTTAATTTAAGATATATATAAAAGTAACAGTATTTCCGGAACACTTTCAAAAGTTAATTTGTCATTTTGAATCCTCCTGTGGACAAGTAAAGGGTCAGATTTATAAAAATAATATAAAAAATGATAGGTAAGTACCTCACGTATCTATTTTAAAAAAATTATATTGACTTGGTCATTTTTTAAAATGCTATGGCAGATTTAAGTAAAAAATATTGAAAAAATGTCGAAAATTAACGATTTTTAAATTTGTAATTATTTTGGAGATATGTCCTATTTACGGGGAACGAGGGAATTGTTTTCAATTTTTGAGGGTAATGCCTTCGACTAAATACGATTTGTGATATTTTGACGTATCGTTGAAAGAAATCAGTTCGGTGAAAGCTGAGAAGAGTGGCAACAGTCACAAAAAAAACAAATCATAGTAAAATCAATACCTTTTTAGCTTCGCATTAAAGCTAATAACAGTTTAAAATATTCCAAAAAATTTGCAACCCAAAAAATATCTTAATTTAAAATTAATTTGCACTTTTATTGCGATTCCAACAATAATTTGTTTTACCAAAAATGTTTCTCAATTTTTATCAATACACTAGGCTGGACTAAGTCCAATATGAGCCCCGAGAATCTCTTCAAGATAAGTCCTATCACTGAAAGGGTATACTTTCTCCACCAGAAAAAAATATGTTTATTATGTAATAAATATTAACTTATAAATTAGTAGACTAGACTCTCTAGTCCTGTTCCAGTTGTGCAGTTTAGTGCAGTTAGTACTAGTTTTTATTAAGTAATTAATTGATATTGTCTTTGTAAAATTAATTTTCGCTGTAAAAACGAAAAATATTAATTAAATAAAATAAAATGAAATACATTTTATTTATAAAATAGGTTTATATTTTTGAGATATTTTAATTAGTAACAGTCAACAATAAAAAATGTTAATAACTTATAAATAATAATGTGTAAATGAAAATTGTTTTAAGTAATTATTTATGAAATAAATAAAAGAATCAACATTAAAAATTAATTAATAGAGTGATTCAAAAATATGTATCAAATAAAATTTGCATACAAGTTATAAAAAAGAATATAATAATGAATATTTTTGTTAAAAATGCACTTTAATTTTATACAAACTTTGAAAAATAGTATAATACTAACTGTATATTTTTATGTACAGTGTATTGGAAAACACTTTAATTTTTAATATAAATAGTGTTTGAAAAAAGTACACAACTGCATATATTGTAGTATGAATTTGAAAACGTATCTTGAAAAAAATTAAATTTCAATATTAAAAAAAAACGGTAGCACAGTGGGGTCGAGGCACAGTGTAGACAAGGCATAGATGGGACAAGTATAGATGATATTTGACAGTGATTTAAATCACTATCATAAGAAACGCTTCGATGCAAATCTGTAGATAGTATTTCATTTTAAAAAAAAATTTGTTAAAATAGCATATTTTTGAATACGGTAGCCGTTTGCGTATAGAAGATAGATCGTCGGGACAAATTTTTTGTTTTCATTTTGTAGTACATAAAATAAGCTTTAATTTGATATATGTTTAAAGGACGCAGTATTTCCGGAACATTTTCAAAAATTAAGTTGAAAAAGTTATNAAGTTATATTAAAAATTCAAATGCCATTTACTATTAAATTAAAAACTCAAACATTTTATTAAATTAAAAATATGTGTTACCATTTAAAAAAACAAAGTTGACCCCCTTCCAAGGCATAAGGGATGAACTTAAAAAGTATTACATAGTTAAAAATTCAAGAATAATGTGTAACTAAAGATAATAAAAAAAAAAAATGTTTAAATTATTATTATTCTGCAAGTAATTGAGTGGGTTATGATAAAAAAATCACTCTGTATATTAACATTCAGTATTTTATTCTATTAATACAACTTATAATACTTGCAAAATTCATGCATTATGGGCAAAAAAAAATTTTAAGTTAATACCAATAATACTATATTATTCTTATAATAGTGTAAAAATATGAATTACAAATACATTTTGAAATGTAGCAAATAAGCATTGCGGTAAATATTTTATTTTAATTCGATTTAAATCGATAAAAAAAAAAATGCTTAGTGTCCAGATATAAATCATATAAATTTATTATTATACTACAGTAAATACATTAAAAGAAATAATTATCTTAAGAATATAAATCATACAAAAAATATCTAGCAATATGGTTAAAAATATACTGAAATGCTGCAGAAAATGTTTAATTAAAATAATTATTTATCGTACTTATAATATAATATAATATTTATTTAATAAACGCCCTGTGGGCATAGAGTACAGAGATAATTAGTTAAAATACATGAATAAAGTAATTTTGCATACATAATAAAGATGAATAATAAAAAAAAAAAGAAAAAAAAAAAAAAAAAAAACACATCATAGTAAAATTAATACCTTCTCCGCTTCGCATCGAAGCTAAAAAAATATGTGACATTAAATATCAAACGGAAACATGAAAATTTCGGAAGTTATTAACATTTTTATATGTAGACTAGGGGCGAGGTGCAAATTATGTTATATTTATCATTAGCTTTTACCGTATTATTATACTGTAGTTCAATTTTTTACATTAGCTAGTGTTTTTGCTGTATGCCTAACAATATAGATACATCAGGAGGAAGGATTTTTAGAAGTTATGGTTCTACCAGAAACTAATTAAGGGAAGACTGGGCGTTTTGCTCAAAAACAGGTTTTTTTATTTATTAAAATTATCTTTGGCATTTTATTTTCCTCTAAAATCATAAACTGAATGGAGTATAATTGGTACATATATAAACACTACCATTTTCAGAAAACCCATTTGTTACAATAAGACTTTAATAGGCTATCGATAACAAAACGCAATTAACTATTTAACTATAACTAATATTGGCTATGTTATGTGAAGATATCATAGACAAAAATTTGTGAAATCACTTTTTTTTTAATTGAAAACATAGTATATTAAATTTCAAAACGTCAAATAAAATTTTTCAACAAACTAAAAATGTTGAACAAGGTTATATTTAAAGATTTATTATATAAAACCTTCATATTATTTAGTAAACAAGTTTAAATTACGTTTGCAACTTTTGATAACAATTACACTGAAATATAATAGAATGATCTTTTTTTTTTTAAGATTTCATTATATTATCTTCGTTGGTTAAGCTATTAGTTTTACTCCTCGTGTTTTTTTTTTGTCACTAGAAACGATTAATCCATTTGTACAAGACTGACTTTACTCAATAACACGATGCTATTAGTCCCTAAATTTAGAAAACTTCCCCTCAATCTCCGTAATAAAGAGGTATGTCCCAAAAAATTACAATTGTCATAAAACAGTCAATATTACAAGATAACAATTTTAAAAAATGTTATAAAAAACATTTTTATAACATTATTTTAAAAAATGATGGGGATTGATATTTTTTAATTTAACTTTATATAAAAATAACTTTATAAAAAATAGTGATATATTTATTGGCGACATACTTTTTTTTATGTAATGTTTTCTTGAAAAACAGAATATTTTGAAAGTTTTTTCTAATAGCTAGTTAGCACTCAATCATAGTAACCATAATTACTATTTTAACATTAAAATTAATGGTACTTAATAACATTCATTTTTATTTAATCCGAATAACAGTTGACTTACCTGATTATGTTCCAGTACAACAAAACGTTTGATGACTTTAACTCTCCACTAACTTTTTTGTTACCAAAATCTTAATTTTGATTAAGTGACTCGCATTATTATTATTTTTTTCCTTTCATGTGTATGTGCAACATACCTCTAAGTGTACGTGTATTATATTGACGATATTTCTTATTTGATTACAAACAAAAATGTTCCTATAATAAACTTGATTGACGACAGATAATGTGAAATTATGAGCTTTTCATCAAAATCTATGTATTATCGTTTTGACTGCTTTTTATAAACAAATGGTTTAAAACTGAAGTTATTCGCGATACTAATACAAGATATGGTACTTCTAGACATATAACAAACTATGATAAAAAAATATAAATAATGACAAGTATGTACAATATTTTTATTATTGTATACTCGAACGCTAGGACCTAAAATAATTTCGCATTAAACAATTTTAGCCAAACTATTTGTAGTAGATACAAAAAAAAAACAAGTCATTATAATTAGTGGTCATCAAATATTACTCGGAAGAGAATCGATATTATTATAGTATTGTGTTCTATTGTTATTATATTAATTGCTTTGACATTTCTCGATTGTAAATCACAAATTTATCTACAGGTCAACTGAAACTCTATACTTTCAAAAATTGCCTATTGAAATTATCAGTTAACTGGATATTTTATGTTTTACTATTATCTACTACTGTTAGAATATATGTGCTTAAACGCACGTTCATTTGTATGGCCTACTACTTGTCAGCAGTTTCTCGGTTAAAATTTATCTAAGTGATTTTTGAACAAGCAATGCATTGATTTATCTAAATTAAACTGTCCAACAGTCAAATGATGTTATTTTATTTAATTTACTTAGTTTTGATAAGATATAAAAAATACTCGTGTGATATTAATATTTGACAAAAATTATACTTCTTTGATATGAGCTCAAAACTTGATTTATATTATAATTTAATACAAATGACATGTAATAAGCATGAAATCTAAAAAAATCATGCAGAATGAATAATATTATATATGTACTCGCATTATTTTACATACAGCTACGTTAAGAATGTTAAACTATGCGTACTATATGCTTAAGAAA